CGTGCGAGACCTGGCCATAATGTTAAAGGCGCTGCACTCACGTCTTGCCTTATCTATATCTACTTTTTGAAGAGAGGAAAGTTGTTTAACGAAAGTAATTTATTTCTTGGTAAAAATGTATACAGATACACATACAATGTAATAATACAATATCAAAAAATAAAAAGCGATGCACAGGACCTGTATGTTGAAAATAAATATATACTCCATTGAAGATCTGATATGTGCCTGTAATTACGCTAGAAAGATGTATTCAGTATTTCATTCAGAGAGCTTGAAAAAATTCATGAACCTTTCTTGAAATATTCGCGAAGTGAGGATGTGTTCAATCTTTCCTCCAGCAGTTAACTTTAACGACTTTTTGGTGATAGCCCAAAAATATTAAAGAAGCTTTTTTACCTGCTTAAAAACGGCTTGGTGACTGAACACTGACTGGAAAGTTTGATCAAATCAACTGCTGATAACGAAAAATACTGGGTACACAAACCAAAACTAACAGAACGTCTTCATTTTGGACACTGTACACTTCCCACATCCCTCCAGTACACAAGCACTTGCTGCCCTCGAGTAACGTACGTAAAATGAAAGTTTCAACACACGCATAGAATACATCTGTACATTGGAATCAAGCAACAATTAATAAATGAATTCTAGTTGTATGCTCAGTAGCGAAAACTAATCAATTTTTCTGGTTTAATTAAATTTTAATGCAAATTAAAACTTTTTACGTCACATCAGTGTGTTTTGCGAGTCAACGCACGTGTTGTTTTACATCGAAATGTGTAAAATTGATGTTGGTAAGGCATTTAAGAGGAATCTAGAGCCTTCTTAGAGAGGTTGTTCGTCAATCATACAATGATCAACCAATTCACGGAAGGGGGATAGAATATAGAATGACATTGGATACGTAGTACGACGAAAAGTGCCTGAACCAGTAAAAATTTAATAGAATGTCGATGACATTATCTCATTTATATGAATTCTTTTTGCGGTGTGAAAATATCTGTTTTAGTTTGAGAGTATTGGCTTCAAAATTTTTTTACTCACGTTTTTTAAAATGCTCTCTCGTAAGCGCTATATGTTTGGAGTATATATTAACTGTCATGGCATAGACTAGAGTGTATTGCAGGTTACGCTTTAACACCAATGAATATACTTATGGATGTCATATATTTATTAAACAAAAGTCACGATTTTTGAAAGTCAAAGTTCAATCTAGTCACGTCTCCGAGAAATTCTCTTTCTGTAGAGGCTCATCCTTAGATAAAAGATCGGTTGCGTGTGAAGGCGCTTGCAAAACCGGATATATACATTTTGCTATTCTGAACTATTAAATAGGAAAGACGAAAGAAGCTCAAATATTTTCGTATTACTTTTCATATAATATTATATTCATAGTTGAGGTACGCTTAGTACTCTTTTATCATCGTTGTGTTTAGCATATATTTAATACATCTTGTCCAGAGTTTATGAGTCTCTCACGGCCCTCCGACTTACTGTCTACCCAGATCTATCATGCTAATGAAAGTTACAAGAGATGTTCGAGCTTGCTGAACAGTAAACATAAAAACTGATATGGCGGAATAGATATTTCCCACACATGCTTGGCGTTGCAATCCTGAAATGCTGTTTTGGAAGCATTCCGAGCCAAATTCCTTTGCCTACGACCGTCGCCACACACTCAGAGAATTTAAAAACCATAAAACGTATTTTTTTTCTATCATCTATTTAGTTAGAATTTATTATTTCTTAAATTGTACAAATTAAGAGGATCAAAATATAATTTTATGAGAAAAAGATCTTTTCTTACTTTCACTTCTGTCTTTTTATTATTCTGTATCCTTGGAATTTTTTATTTATTGTAACCTGTTAATGTTTACTTACTTTTTTATATATTAGTTTCTTTGTGTCTGTATGTATTTATTTTATATATCTGAAGGGTCAGTAAGGAAGAAATGATCAAATTGCTGAAAACCAATAATATTAATATTCGCAAAGTAGTTATACTCACGAAGTAAGTTATCTCGAAACGGACTCGTTTAAGTAGTTCGCTGAAATTTGGTATTAAATACGTCGGGAGGAATGATATAAATCAGATTTAGATCGAGAAAACATATGCAGGTGCGAGAACCGATTCAGCAGATGAAAGATTCAAGCAGGTTTTGTTTTTGAAGTATGGAAAAAGCTGTCCCGAAATAGAATTTAATTCTTGAATATTATTCTAATGATCATTTTTTTATTATCCCACAAATTTGAAAAATTTATCATTTTCCAATATTAAAAGTCACGTGAGGGCCAAAGGCGCGCTACTACTACACATATGAATCTAGGATGAATACTTCGAAAAAAGGGGGTGGACGTTGTGCAATGCTCCCAAAAACTGAAGTCTTCACAAAACAGGACGTCTCATTATTCAGAATTTATTATAGGTTAAGATTTTGAATACTAGGGAGAAAATCAACAATTGTATCAATTATAATCGAGTGCAATATAATTAAATAAAACAACATATACATCTATCTATAAGAGTTTTATTGTAAGAGCAATTACACCTGTTACATTCGCACCCTCCATATTATTTTTTCTCACGTGCTTTTAAACAAAAATCAGTACAATAGGTGTACTACTAAACAAACCATTGTCTTCATCGGGCAAACCGACACTAATTGAAATGTCTGTTATCCTTTTCAGATTTCGCAATTTAGTAGTAACTTAATTCCAAGGTTGTCGTTCTTATTTTTGCGACACCAAAGAATCATATTTTAGTTCCCCATATGGAGAGGATTCCATCAAAAGCTAATAAAGGCCTCCTTAACATTTCCCATTTTTACTTTACGGCATTCTTAAGAGTATGATTATTGATTGTTAAGTGAAATTTCTGGTTGATTTCGGTGAGTCCCCTCGAACGTGTAAGTAGCATTGTTTCCCACAGACGGAGGTGAAGAAGTCTTTCCACCCCGCTGGATGGCTGACATCCGGCGCCACCTACCGTCGGCTACGCGGGTATTTTCCCCAAACAGGTATCTCCCACCAGCAGGGCACCGCCCCAGACCGGGAGCAGCTCTAAGCTTCCCAACGCGGTGCTCACGGCATTTGTGGGGTGAAGTGTAGAGCATGGCAGTTGTTGGTAAGTAACAGGTGAGGTATAGTACAAGGAAAGGAAGAATGATTCGCGGCGCAATCCTAGCTCTTTTGTGACGCTCTGCTCCGGCAATTCCAGACAGGCTGTGTGATCAGGAGAAATCATAGAAAACTACAAAGATCAGAGAAAGCCGGATCGCTAGAATTCTCCTCCAGAACAGCGATGTAGGATTTCAACCAAGCCTAACACGCTTAGTGTCGAATAACCTGCCACCTTCGGGAACACACGAACCTAGAACATCCCTAGTCACCAGTACAAGAAGTGACAATCAGTTTTATTGCCCTAGAGACCACCTCTCCCCGGTTCGTCTGGTGTAAAAATATATTTTCTAGTCGATAAAAAGGGGCAGACTTTATACGAACATAGACGCAATCGTTTATAAAATACCTCCTCACTTTCATCAGATACTATTTATCGTCGATGGATTGTCAACTCGACTATAAAAGGTTACCAGTTCTTTGACACATAGAAGAATAAAATTGCAGGCAATTCTTTTCGGAGATATTTTCCACTTTTTTTACCCTAAACATTAGAAATATGTCCCTTTAAAGAATAGAACAGAAGGGTTATAACAATATTGATATATACATTTTTCTTTGAAATATATTTGAGCCAATTCTTGAGATTTAAGCTGTTTTCTTGAATATATTCAAATAGTTTGTAGCATCCTTTTTTAAAAGAATAAAGCATTAAGAACAAGAGACGTTATTTAGACATAATATTGAAGACACTTGCGTTTCACAAATTCCGACCAATAATGTAACAAAACACTGCAGTATTAATTTTGAAATTTCTCATTTAATTGAAACCTTTTATTAAGAAGATTTTTTTTAGAGTAAAAATCTCTAATCTCCATTACTAGAAGTTGTAAGGAACGACCTTTTAATTTTTTATATAAAAAAACTAACTAACTTTATTTTTGTAATTTTTGTGGAATTTTCTAGATATTTTAACAAAACTGAGTCCTGTATTAAGCAGCTTTTTTAATGACGTCCTTCCCTTTACCCTATACTGAAGGAGAAGTTTAATCGTAAAATTATTTGAAGACTTAATAGAGGAAAAATTGAAAATGTCTATAATAGAGAGTAGTCTTCGTGTAAATCACGAAAATAAAATAAAAACTGCCAAAAACTTCATCTTCGCATATCAATTCAAGGTGGCAACAACATCAATCCTGATTGGAATGTTTGTATCGAAACTTTGACCACAACAGCTCTTAACGAAATGCTTTATAGGCCTTAACAGCAGAGTAACCCGGCCTTGGGGCCAACATGGGTCCCGATCGACTGAAGAAATCTCTTGTTAAACATACACTGCTATACGGTTTAGTCGCTAGCGAGATTGTACATACATAGAAGACGTGTTGCTAGAAAAACCAATTCTTTTGATATCAAAGGTTTTTGTGGAATTGACTGACATTTTAAATTTAATTTTTTTTTAAATATATAAAACGAGGGGAAAAACTGTACTTACAAACAAGGAACAGGAAATTATCCTTTTTTCAACGGTATAAGGATCTGCAAATAACAAATTTTCATGCTCGAAAAATCGTGCCGTTTTCGCTACAAGCATTACATAACCTTTTCTACTAGTTCATTCTTCGTATGTAGTATGGCCGAGAAAGTAAACATGACTTTTTCTGAAACAATTTCGTGCGTAAATCTCAGTAGTTTTTTATTGAAGGGCCCATCAAACAATATAAAACATCCGTTTGAAATCCGAGGGACCAGCGAGACGACCAATCGAAAAATATCAATATCCGCTGGGATTTGACATCGCGCCGGTTGAGTCACCGCAGGAAACCCAAGTCCGGCTATTCTCCGGCCCATTTGCAGGCGGAAGGCAACGCCGGAAGCGGATGCTAGCTATCTTTACCAGTGCGGCATGCGGCGCAGCCAGTAGCCAGTTCAGCCGATTGCGCGAATCGCGTCCGTCTTTATCTGGGCTAGCCCAAGGCCCTGCAGCGAACGTGGCGCGGGCAGACAACACTGCGACGGCCGCCGGAGGGCCGCCACCGGGCCGCCGCCGCGCCCAGATTAAAAGGCCCGCATGGGCCGCAACAGTAACGCCGCCCCGTCCGCCGCCAGCCGAGCACCCTAGCTGCCGGCCGAAGCCGCCGCCGTGCGTCGCGCGACCAGTCCGCGATTCGACAGTGCGCGCCCGTCCTGACTCGTGCGACCTAAAGCTCGCGGGTCCAGCCTGGGCCCGCCCGCCGAAGCCGGTGCCCTTGGCGCGCTGATTACTCGTGATGCGGGCGCACACGTGCACGTAGCGCCAGAGCACAGTGCGGTAGCTGAAAGAGCGGAGGCTGCGGAAGCGCGCCGCCCGCAGACAGCGCCAAGTGGGGCATGGCGGAAGAGACGAGTGAGTAATAGCTTGTGCGCAGCGAGGAGGGGAGCGTGCGGCGCGTGGGAGTGAAGGCCGGCGGAATGCGGCCCGCAGTGATGCGAATTGTTTCAGACGGTCGACCCTCTCGCGGGGTGTGGCTTTGGAACGTGCGCCACAAGAATGTGCGGCGTGAAGGAGAAGACCAAAGAAAGAAATGTAACTACACGAATGGGGTAATCTATGGTCATTTCTAGAGCAATAAACCTCCTAGCTTAGCAGAGCTGTTGTTTGGTGTTGTTTTTCTCGGTTTCCGTATCGGTGCACACGACTCCGCTTCTCTCTCCTCTAAGCAATTCCCCTTCTTCTCCTCCACCCCACCCCTCTCTTACAAACGTATCGTCGACCTGAGCTGATGTGCAGCTTCCTATAGGGTATCGTCTTTCACTCTGTTCTCTCTACTTATCGGCTTAGTTCGTTTTTAATCTAGTCCCGGGCGCTTCTTACTACTACTAAAGGGTTCATTATTTCCCGTATCGCGTAGTCTGCATGTTTCACTATCGTGAACGTGGACTCTGGTTGGCGAGATCCTTCGGAACGCTGACCGTCTGGGGCATTGCGTGATTTTCCCCAACTGGCAGGTATCTCCCACTATCTTTATCCTGTCGTTTATTTCTCTCTTTCTTCCTCCTTCCGGGCTTAGTCCTTATCTTTTCTTCTCTTCTTTCTCTTCCTCCCTCTCTCTTAATCTTACAGCCGGGCCTTTGCCTCCAGCCTGGCGCACCATCAGCTCTTGTCTCTCGAAACAATGTGGTATGTAGTGAGTATATTTGTGAAAGCTTGTGTGTTGTATGTAATTTCGCTAAATTACGAGGCTTGGCGACACAATGAACCAACGTGGACGAACGAAAGTAAGAGCGTTCCACTCTTCCTCGGTTTTCCGTGTGTCCGTTTGATACGTGGTAACGTTACCCGTTATTTTGGGTGGTTCAACCATTCGGAAAACAAACCTCGAAAACTAATTCAGCAGAGCAATCCTGACGCTAGCAATTCTCCACACCGTCTTGAATCCCACCTAACTATGTAGCGAGTGTCGTCGAAATCCTTGTCGTTTCTCGAAATTTCTAGGTCTCTCTCAGAATTCGTGGGTCTGTTGGTCTCGTCTTGTCTTCTGGATAGGAGCAGGAAGAGTCCTAGTTTCTTGTCTTCTTCTTCTTCTCTTCTCTTTCTTAGTTTATCTCTCTTCCTCTTCTCGGTCTGCTATTTTGGAGCTCTGCTACTCTTCTCTCTCTCCCAACTAGAAGCTTCTCTGTTTTCTCTGTGCTCTGTATCTTCTCTTCCTTCTCTTCTCTCTTCTCTCTCTTCTCTTCTTCTCTTCTCTTCTTCTTCTCTCTTCTTTCTTCTTCTCTTTCTCTCTCTTTCTCTCTCTTTCTCTCTTCTTCTTTTCTCTTCTTTGTTTTCCTTGAGATTTGAGCTTTACCGTATGTGGCAGAAGTCGGTGCCTCATGCCCTCCCATGAGGTTGATTTTTTTCCCTTAGCTTGGCCGTGAATGTTGTGTTGCAGCGGCGGGGCTGTCGGCGGCGCAAGTGAGCGCGCTGGGGGTGTCCACGCAGCGCAGCTCCTTCGTCACGTGGCACCGCGAAACGGGCCGCCCCTTCCACAACTTCATCACGTGGAAGGACGTGCGCGCCGACGACCTGGTGCGCCAGTGGAACGCCTCTCTCACCCTCAAGGTGAGCACATGATCTGGGATGTCCAAGGCTGCGGTGACGCCCTTGCTACCATCCTGTCATACCGCTTTCATTGATTGCCTGGTTAATTGATTCCGGTTGCGTAATCTGCTAAGGTTTTTTTTGTTCCCGTAAGTGTAGTGCGTGTTTTCTTCTCGGGAGGTGGATGTGGTGCTCCCCCGCTGGATGGCGAGATCCGGCGCTGAGCTACAGTAGGCTCTAGCGGTTTTATTTCACAAACCAGGTGTCTCCCACCAGCGGTGCGCAGCTACAGCCGAGACAATCCCTAAGTTCCCGACAGGTCTCCCGGAATATGTGGTAGTGTAGTGCACGTAAGAGTATGTGTAAGGGGTGCGGAAAGCACAGGGATGGGAAAAGAAAGATCGCCCGCGGACCGTGGCCCGTTTGTAAGGGGACTGCTCCGACATTCGCCTGGTGTTGACTGGAGAAACCAAGAAACGCAACCGATGAGAGCAGTCGGTGACTTGACGTTTCCTCTACACAGCGATTGTATCCGACGTATCTGACAAATCAGTATCGAAAATCCTGTCACCTTCGACCAAGACTCGAAACTAGGACCTCCCGGTGCGAGGCACTACAATGACATCAGTTGTTGCACTGACCCACCTCTCCCGCCAGAAGGAGGTGCCATTGCCAAAGTGCGAATGAGGGTATATATCACAAGGGATATAAGCGCCCTAAATGTGGTTTTGAGAAAATCGAGTTGAGTGTCCATAGGAAACGCTATGGAAGTCTTTTCTTTCCACCGTCAGAACGCGGCAACTTTTGAGCTATTGAAATACAATTTCTTTACGGATTAAAATGGAGTTTTTACTTTACACTCTTAGTCGTAACTCAAAATTTGCCAAATGTGCGTTTGTACCCCTTGTGCTCTATACCCCTCTAATGTTCTTGGCTATCTGGGTGACATCGTTTTCGGAGGCTGTGGTGCTGACATTTCGACCGTCTTGCCATGGTCTGCAGCCAGCGCCGAGGACGACGACGGCAAGATGGTCGAAGCGTCGGCACCACACCCTTCGACCGGGACAGTCAATGTCACTTGCGTGTTTCTGGCCGCGGAAGCCTACGACTGCCCTTTGCCAAAGTGTTTACCGGCTGAGGTGGCTCAGGGTATCGACTAAGGTCGCTGCAGTGACTCTGAGCGGGAGGTCATTGGTGTCGAGTCCCGACGGTGGAAGGATTTTGTTCTAGCTTGATAGCTAGGTCGAGATCAACCACTGTAGGGGGCAGAATGCTAGAAGCCAGATGCTCTCATCGTTGGTTTTCTTTCCTGATCAACACCAGGTAAATACCGGCGAAGTATCCTAACAAACGGGTGTCCTATCCTCACTCCCTTACTCTCGCCCTCTTTCTTTCTCTCATTTTCTTTCTTTTTTCTCTCCCTTTCTTTCTTTCTCTATTTTTCTTCTTCTTTCTTCCCCTTTCTCTCTCTCTCTCTCTCTCTCTCTCTCTCTCTCTCTCTCTGTCTCACACACACACACGCGCGCGCGCGCGCTCTCCGTATTCCGAATTTTAAAAACAGCGGAGAGCATATGCCGTTTACAGAAACCTCACCTGTGATTGCCTCGATTGAATTCATAGTGGGCACTTAAGAAGTAAGAAAACCCTTAAGTGTTATGAGGTTTCTCAAAATAAATGGTCATTTATAGGAACTCGAATTCATAGACGTCCCTTACGATCACTGAATGAGTGTTCCCTTCAGTAGACCTCTTTTGTCACTGTTTTTTTATTCAATCAGTGGCTCTAGTGAATTAACTATTATTGTTTTGTTTGAACGAAACCACTTTCGTAATTGTTCGTCGTTGTACATTTCCTGCAGGTTGCTCCCATCTCTAATAAATCTTCTATTACACACGATGTATAAAACTCAAACACGCACAAGTATAAAACTCAAACTATTATGCGAAGTCTTAATCGTTTTCCATAAAACGTTTTACTGATGAGTCATTTGAACTAATAATACAAATTTCGGTGAACACTGCGTAAGAAAATTCTTTATATACTCTCTATAATAATAGGAATATAACCTAAACTGGTTATGACTGACGAGGCGAGACAACCATAAGGACACTTAAGGGATCAGGCTGCCTCCCTTATAGGAATTAGTGCTCACTTAAGAATCCGCTTATGAATGAAATTCCATCACTTAAGAGGGCACTCATTTTAAGTGTCGACTATGAATTTGGTCCATATTTATAATGATGACCAGAAGTTATTAGGTCCCGTGTTTGGAGTGTAAGCTTCCCTCCCATTGGTCAAATATCTGTTCCATATAGAAGCTGCAACATTACGACAATCGTTATGCAACGGGATGCAGCCATTCAATAATAGAATTATGTAATGAGAGAAAAAGAACAAAATTTCATTTCAGCGTCAGTAAAAAAAATCTGTATTAAAAGCATGGATGCTACACCTATAGAAAAACCCCAGATTACGCTACTGACTACACTTGTAGCAATACTGTTTACATTGGCGGGAGAGCAGAGAATGATGAAACGCACATGCCAGGGTCACGCCCTTTATGCAAGTTGGAGCGGTGGTAATTTGGTGGCTGTATATCAGGGGTTCCCAACGACGGTATCGACCCAGTGGTTTCATTGATTGATTGACTGATTGATTGATTGATTGTTAGTGATTCCGGGCGCGTCAACTACTGAGGTCATTCGCCCGTACGTGTACTGCACGTTTTTCATCGGGGCGGCGATCTTCTCCCGCTGGATAGCGAGTTCCGGTGCCGACCTACTGGCAGAGTTTCCCCCAAACCAGGTATCTCCTTACAGCCGGGCACTGCCCCAGCCGGGATATGCTCTAGGCTCCCGACGATTCTCACGGTAGTGTAGTGTATGTCAGTGTAGGTGTGTGGAAGGGGTGAGAATGGGGCAAAGAAGAGGAATGACTGATCGCCCGCGGTCCATGGCCCCCTTTTTTGGGTACTGCTCCGGCATTCGCCTGGTGTTGATCAGAGAAACCGCGGAAAACTACCGATCGGAGAAGCTAGAATTCTCCTCCAGACAGCGGCTGAGTTCGACCTAGCTGGGATCGCTAGTATCGAAAATCCTGCCGCCGTCGGGGCTCGAACATAGGACCTACCGTTCAGAAGTTAATGATTTGAGCCACCTCTCACGGTCTACTACCCCGTAAGGTGGACGAACGTTTTAGGAGGTGAATGGTGATCAAAGGATCGAAAAGGGGTCAATAACAGAATATATCTATTGATAGATATGGTCAAGATCAAGATCCAATTGACTTCGAAAAATTTGTAGTTGTGAATTTGATAAGTGTTTTCTGATACAAAACCAACAACTCATAAAAATTAAACATTTGCTTCTATTCTTTCCTATACATTGTTCATTTGAACGTGCGATATTTAGAAAATACAAGAAGTTATAACTATGTATTCACAACGTTACTGTCTCTGTTGGGAAAGAAAATAATTTCCGTAATACGTACTGTCAACATCTTATGGCCATGTCTAAAAAACGCTTAAAATACTATAACAATTGCCAATTATAAAGATCAGTTACGCAGAAGCGGAATCAACTTTGATTATTGAAAATCGGGATTTTTACAAACATATTGGTCAACGAAATTGTCTTCAAGAGACTGGTGCATTTTTTTCTGTTATGATTATGTATGCTTCATGTTATAGAGAAAAATGTTAAGGGTTCGATGAAGCAGACAATTTGTTTAAAAGGAATAGATAAAAGGAAAATATTGAGAATACCTGCTCTAGATCTGGGAGAGTGGTGCCTGCATGAATTTCGCGCTTGCTGCTAGCGAATGCCCCAAAGCTATTGTATGCCCTGCATCGCTGCGAGTACTCGTACTATTTTCTCAGTTAAGGAAACCATTACCCTATTTCTAATAGTCTAATAACTAAAACTTGGAATCATTTAAGAGCCATACAAACCAAATTATGTTTTTAAATTGGACATGTACGAATTCTTTCTTCTATTTTATTGGAAACATAGAGAATATATTAAAACGAAACATCAGACCCTTTACAACACCCACTTACTCGAAGTAAAACTCCATGACTTGTTCCCCTAATTGAGAGTATATTACAGAATGTTTCAGAATAAATGTTACCAACTTCTAGAGCATGTAGAGTCGAAAATCATCACCTTTTGCTAATGAACATATTGTTAGAAATTGCTTTAAACGGAATTATTAGCATTTATACACATGTCGTTTGACGCTGATTTTTAGGCAACTCCATGTGCACAATGTTCGATAGAAAAATGAAATCCCTTTGATTGCGAGTTCTGCGGTACATCTCTTAATAAGGGTTTCTTCTTGTCACATCTATAAACACTTTTAAAATCGATGTATGCTATTACAAATCACCTGTCGACTAGTGTTAAGAAAGTGAAACTTATTTATTCACACCATTGTATGCTGATTTATAATAACTCTTAAAACATGTTAATAATGTTTACAACGTTCCAAACAAATGACTTGCTGCGACAAATGGCGTGCTTTCAGGAAACACTACAGAATATGTTTGTTTGGGATCTTAGATTTTCTGATTTTGTCTAACTTTCCTTTTTTCCAACATGAACCTGAAACCACCTGATACCTCAAGGATTTTGGATTTGTTTTGGATTCGGGTCTTTTATAAGTGATTTAATTAGACACTTAATAGCTGACCATATTGTTCCAAATAAAGACGTTTCGTTTTTTAACTAATGATTTATGTTAAAATTTTCCGCATATCTAAGGTTTTGGCGTCGCTGAATAAAAATCTTAGAATAAAAGCTGCTGTGAAAAGTGATGTGTTTGTAATGTTTGAAACAGTGTTTTGTTACCATCTGCTTTGTAAGTGACCAATTATCAAGAAAGAATTAAGGAATTTATTTTCAACAATACAATAACGTTCAATAATTTTTACACATAGTTAAATATTGTTGTTTAGCTTATATTAAGAGTAAGATCTTTGTTTTATTTACGTAACTTAAACATTTGATTAATATATTATTATCACTAATTTCTTTTTATTTAAATTTAAAGTCATATTTTGCTCCATATTTTCAATATTTTAGGCCATAAGTTTCTACACATTTTATTTGCATGTTAGTGCATATTAATCTTAGCTGTGGTAATGAATAAACAGCCAAACTGCGCCAGCACGAAAATTGCGAGAAAATATGTCTGTGTTCATTCCGTAGTTTAAATCAGTGTGTGCGCATCGCGCAGTGCTTTGTTCTGTAGCGTGTTTGTGCACGGCGTTGCGTGAGTCACGCGTGACTGTTTGCGCAGGGCCTGCACGTGGGCACGCGGCTGCTGTACGCGGTGACCCGCAGCCAGCGCTTCCTGGCCGCCTCCGTGTTGAAGCTCATGAACTCGCAGGTGCGTCCCCGAGCTGCACGCTTTCGCGGCCCCGCGTCAACACCCACGCCCCACGGGCCCCTTGGGTTCTCATCCCCTCGTCCTCTCTCCCCCTTCTCCCATCATCCTGACACCCTCATCCCTCGCCCCCCTCATGCTCCTCTCCCCCTTCTCATCGTCCCCTCCTCACCTCGCCCCTTCGCTCTCCCTCCCCGTCCTCGCTCCCACGATCCCCTCGCCCCTCTAATATTTACGGTCGTAAACGCTTGTGAAAATCTCCTCCCCCCAATTACGATGCATAAAAGCGAAACGAGTTGTATTAATTGTATTTGTGGGGTATACATTAACATTTGATTAAATTTCTGAGAATTGTTTGTGGCGAGTGCAATAAAACAAATACGTTTGGAACAATTGGTTAACAAAGAAGGATGCGAATGCAAGGAACATTTCTGTCCGGCCATGCCACATGCGTTGTGGATACGCTAGGCTCCGAGTCTACTGCTCCAACTATTGGATTCTAGGATGATTAATTGGGATTGTAGATCATTTGTTTGAATATTTTTTGGTTATCTAAAAGATTTAATCATATACCATTGATGAAATATATATTTTATTTTATTTATTTAAAGAAATGTAAAAATGTAAAAATGTGCAGGAATATAAACTTCTTAATTTATTTATATATTAATATAAACTTGTTAATAGTAATGTTTTTAGATAACTGATTAAAATGAATTATTATTATTATTATTATTATTATTTATTTATTATTTATTATTAATTATATTATATTTTATATTATTGACGCGAAATCGGCCATCATGGGGCCACGCGATAAGTGCATTCCCACCGGTCTCGCTTTGAATATCGGGGTTAGGTGTACGTTACTCTCTATTGGGGAATAAGCATTTGTACGCTGGATTCCATTTTTACCCACCCCAGGGTCTGTTAGCTGGGGCATGGGATGAGATTGTGATGTGAATGATGAAATACACACACACACAACACACCATGCCCGAGCGGGAGCTCAGAACCCGCATCCTTCGGTCCGAGATCGCTATGGCACTAGTGCCTTAGCTATTCTCGGCCACCGGATCGGTTTATTATTATTAATTAATATTATTATTATTATTATTATTTATATTATTATTATTATTATTATTATATATTATTATTATTATTATTATTAGTTATATTATTATTAGGATGTATTATTATTATGTTAAAGATTTTAATATATAAATATCAGGGATCATGTAGTACAAAAATATAACCTTTGGTCAT